CTTGCAGGCCCCAAGTGGGGTCATGACCCTAACTTGGGAACTGCTGTATAACACATTGAAAAAATTAACATACCAGCCAGTAAATATATCAGCAAAACAAACCCATCCAGTCTACCCAAGACCCTGTGCAGTCTGCCATCCCTAGAGGCCTTACCTATTAAACATGGGTTTTCAAAACCTTGTGTCTACTTGCAAGCTCACATACTGCTTTGGGTATGTGTTACCATTGTCTTGTAGTCTTCCTTTGTGCCGTTTAGCTAACTTTGGTGTTGACAAATATGTGCTAACACTTCTGAAAATATGACCCTCTTTTTCTTGCTCATTCATATGTTGGAGGTGCTGCTTAGATTTATTATTTGCACATAATAGAGTTCACAGTTATTGTGTGTCAGAAACAAGATCTGGAGAGTCTGCTGTTCCCGCAGCTGGAGCAACACATACACATCTGCTAAAACTGCAGTGTAAATTGTATTGTCCTTAGCAATTAATCACTTACACTGTATTCTATCAACTCTCCTCCTCCTTAACTCCTGCCGGTCTTTACCCTCTTCTCCCTTTTTCTTCCTCCACTGTCTTCTCTTCTCCTTTTCTTGTGTGTCTCCCACTTCATTTCTTAACATCTTCTCCAGAAGTGCGGAGTTTGGACATGGAGATGCTGCTGCAAAAGTTCCTACTTCTCTTGCAGAATGTTCTACCACTAGATCTCAAAGAGCTTTGCACAGGTCGTGAAATCACACAGGTTATGAGATCTTAGTATCTTCATTTTACAGGGGGGAGATTATAACATTGTTCTAGCAAGGTCTGTTACTCATAGTCATCAAAATACCAGTGTCAGAGAAAAAGATTAGTCTCCTGTTTCATGTGTCCCATGGTGGAGTCCAAGCAACCAGGTTAGTTAGCTCGAGATATACCAGTAGATGGCACTTCAGTGTTCATAGCATTGCTTGTACATCTGAGGGGCTGATAAAAATTGGCTTCTTGTGTGTAGTTCTTCACATACAACTTCTAGCATAATTTTATTTCTCTGTGATCTTGTGCTCTTCTCTTGGGATCTTTACTCTGCCTTTCTCTTTTTTAATTTTCCTTGCTGTGACACTTTTCTGTTGCTTCTCTATTTCTCCAGGTTTTCCATAAGCTACGTATCATTTTGACAAGAAAAAAAAAGAAAAAAGAGAGAAAGAGAGAAAAAGAAAAAAAAAAAAACCAAAGAAAAAGGAATATTTTGAAGTGTAAATCCCTTATTTATTTTTTTTTTTTCCAGAAGAATGTTCTCTGGATCCCGACCATTTCATTTCTGAGGAGTAGTGGGAGAGAGGTGAGCAGGAGCAGTAAAATTTACTCACAGATGTCCCTTAGGTCCTAACGATGTGTGTGAATGTGTGGCTCCAAAAGCACACCGCAATGACCCACCTGCACGTACGGATGAAATGGTATTAATGCCAAACTAACCCTCACCATGGGGGTTTTTTTTGCAGTCTGAAGTAGACAGCTATTTACTAGCTTGCTTCACTATCTGTGAAGCACATCCAAACAACACCACCGTATGTCTTCAAGTCTGTATGTTGCACTACCTTTGCTGTCCACAGGCTGCAGCTAAACACTCCAGGCTCTGGCCTTTCTTCCCGAAAGGAAATGAGGGGTTTGATGGGTCTTCTGCTGTGGGCCTTGGCTGTATTTCACTCCCTCAGCCCATGTGGTGCGGCTTGCTAGGTTGCTGACAGTGGCAAGTGCCTTTCAATTAAGGCTGAAGTTCCATCAGAGCCCGTAAGTGGAGAATGCCGGGGAGATTAATAAACGAATTGTCACAGCTTCCAGGCATGCTGGGTTGGGAAGTGCAACTCCCGAGTTTGAGGGCTGTGTAAATTTGGAGCTCCAAGTCTGTATCTTTATAGAGATAGACTTAGTCCTTTTTTTCTTTCTCATAAAATGAATGAAAATTAATTTCTCTAAAGTTGAAGTCCAAATGTGGAAATACTCAATATTTGTATATCTTTTGTGCCAAGCATTTTAGGCTTTTTGCAGTTTTGGTGGAGTCACCATTGAAACAAGGATTTGAATTGCTTTGACTAAACCATCTGTATGTGGGAAAAGATTATGGGAAACATCCCTGCAGGGCCCTTTTTAGTTGCTGCAGTGGGCATTATCCATTATTTTTCCAAGTGTCTTTCCTCGGTAATTTTTTTTTTTTTGCTTTCCTTGCTGTCTTGACCAATCTAGCTGGTACTAGTTATTGTCTCTTTGAGAATTATTGTCAGTCCTAAAAAAAAATATTGCAAATCTGAACAATACAATAGTTTTAAACTGCATTTTAACTACTTCACTCTTTCATCTTATTTACTTGTTTTCACTTAAAAATACAGACAGAAACTTTTGACCAATCTAGCTGGTACTAGTTATTGTCTCTTTGAGAATTATTGTCAGTCCTAAAAAAAAATATTGCAAATCTGAACAATACAATAGTTTTAAACTGCATTTTAACTACTTCACTCTTTCATCTTATTTACTTGTTTTCACTTAAAAATACAGACAGAAACTTTTGTGCATTTGCTTGTCTTTTCCCCACTACACATTCTACCCAGCACAGAATGAAAATTCCTGTGATTAAACACTACATTCATTGAACAGCAAAAAGTTTCACTAAAATCAATTGGAAAATAGCATTTATGGGAAATTTTAGGATTGCTTAAGGATCATGTAAAGGAAAAACATATTAAAGAAGGAACATTCTATCATTCTGTATTCCTGCTGACAACTGCATCCAACAGCTGTGGTGATACGGTTGTTCCTTGAGTATTTCTTGAGGGAATTGTTTCTTTATAACTGGACATTCCTTTCTCATATTGGAGTCTGCAAGACTTAAAAGTGAGTGGACATACCTCTTCAGAGGATCATAGGATAATTCAGCTTGGAAGGGATGTCAGGAGATCGTCTGCTGGATTGTCCTCATGGGGAAAAATTTTCCCTTATACTCAGCGTGAACTTCTCTTGTTTCAATTTATGCTGTTGTCTCTTGTCCTGCTACCGTGCACTGCTATAAAGACCCTGACTCTGGCTACGCAAGGACCTGCTTGTAGGTGGGAAAGGCTGCTCTGAGGTGCCCCCAAGGCCTTCCCTTCTCCAGGCAGAAGCAGCTCCATCCCTCAAGCTCCCCTTGCAGGGCAGGTGCTTCAGCCCCTGAGCCTCCTCCGGAATCGCTTGTCATTGGTGCCACCTTTGTCTACATTGTCCCAGAACTTGCATAACTACCTGTCTGGCTTATCTATGTGTCTTGCCCTGTGACCTCTTTTGGCAATGCTTCTGACTCAGAAAACTAATGGTAGCATGCTTTAGTATCTTCCAAGTGTTTCCAACAACAGCCACCCCCCAACATCATCCTTGCAATTCCAGGTGCCTCTTAAAATATGAAATGATTGAAACTCAAAATTAAGAGCTTCTCTAGGAAGCCCAGCAGAAGATTGACAGGAACACTGTTATCCGAATAAGAGCATTCCAAATTGCTAAGAGATCTTGAGGAAGACATTAAAATTGTTCTTCTTATGTAAAACTGTATTTTTGCATACAACCATGTTGCACAGGGTAGGAATGATTTTATGAACATGTTCCTTTTGCTGTAAAATACTATGAAAAATATTTCCAACATTCATTTTTAAATATTTCAGAAGTCTTTAAAAACAGATGACTAAAATTTAGTTCTTGAACATGAGTGCAGTGGTTTCATTTTAAGGACTTCTGAGTATCTGTAGACCTCACTGAAACGCAGGGAGGTTTGGATGCTATTACTGAGTCACACTGGTAGAAATTCAAGGGCATTCCAAATTCAAAATGACACTGGACTGCCTTGGTAAATTCATTATTTTGTAGCATCTGGTAGGTCTGATTACCTGTTGTCAAAGTCCAGACTACTTTCTCAATTTCTGACACATTACTGCTCTTCAATCCTATGGTTTAGTTGAACAAATTAATTTAAAGATTAAGAGATCAAAAGAATGTACCTGTAAATTACAGGACAATGAGCCATGTGTGTGATTTTAACTCCAAGACAGTCTCTGAGCTGAACATTATGGCTCACAACTTGTTTTCATGTCATATTTCTCCACTGTGTGATAATTTCATTTGCTATATTGTCTAGAAGTAATGAATGAATTATACAGATGATTCCAATTAAGTGTCAGCAAAATCCTTTATGTACTTACATCTATCAGAAAAAACAATAAAATTTAAAGAGTTAACTTGTGCATACTATTATTTTTCTTATACTATCTGCAAAATTCATGCTGCCATAATGGGTCAGGCAGGCCTTGGAATTACAGAAATATCAAACAAAAAATGTAATTGCCTTATCTTCAGGGAGTTATGAATTTAAAATCCGATACCTTGTGAACTCCTTGGTACAAATGTTATGCTTCACCAGAAAGCATGGAATCCTAGTTCTTCAAAGGGATAAGATACAGATGTTTCCGTGCTGGTGATTCATTGTATAGTAAAATGTCACTGCCTAGAGAACAGCACTGCATGCTGAAATTTAATTTCACCTGATTCCCATTTGGAGGGAAAGAAGGAAACTTTTTTATGTCATAAAAAAAAAATGACAGCTGTTTGAAATTTGCTGAGAGGCTTGGAATGTAGTTTTAGTTGAGGTGTATTAGCAGGCAGAAAGCAAGAAAAGAGGTAAAAGGTGCAAAAGAGGTCCATGATACTGTTCTTAAGTCTGTCATATGAACACAGCTATCAGGAATGCATTCAAGTGTGATCAAAATTGTATTGCATGTATTGCACAGACAAATACATTTGGGAACCAGGGCTTTAAAGGCAATATTCTTATCATTCAAATGCCTCAAGCTGGGTCTTTTGGAATTAACCTGATTTTATTTAAGTGCCAGAGCATGGGTTTCTGTTTTCAAGTTTACACACTCCACTCAGTGTTACTGTTCCTGTGTTTGTGAATGGAGTTCACAGGGCTGGGATTCTGTAGCAAAGTATACTCCACGGTGAACTACAAGTTTCAGAAATGCGATTTACAGCAAGGGAAATATGTATGCCAGACAATAGAAAACTGAAGAGAAAAATATTTCTGAAAATTCATCTCGTGGTTTTAGGAGCTTGTACAAGATCGTTTCAGAGCTGGAAATCACCTTCTTCTACTTAGATATCCAGACATCTCTGTTTCTTCATTTAAACAGCATCCAGGATAACCTGTGCATTAAGAGAGGAAGCAAAACCAAACCAAACCAAAACCACCAAAAAAACCCCAAAAAAATAGACCAGAGGTAGAAATAATGGATTCGGCTCCTTCCTTAGACTGAAGGAATTAAGTTCACATTTCCACTTCCCAGGAAGTTCTCCATGTACACGCCTAGAAGAGAGGATAAAAAAAAGTAAAGCTTCTCCTATTGTAACTATGACTCAGTGTAGAAAAAGACATGAGATTTGTAATCTTGACTTAAGCAGAGAGTTAAACATGATTTCACAGCTCAAGGATGGAGCCACTTGCCTACTGGGGGAAACAAAAGGGGAGGCAACCTGGATTCTGGCCCCTGCTTCAAGCACTATTTATGTATGTTACTCAATTACAAATGCAAAATGTGTAGGCAGCCCCTGGGGCAAGAACCCAGGACTTCCTCTTCAAAAGGAGCACCTATTAGGGTTGCAAATTATTCTCTCTCAATGAATCTTGCTTCCTCTCCAGCAGAAGTATGGCTTCAGCAGTCATGACAGACAGTTCTCCAGCCTAAGCTTCACCTTGAGTTGGTGGTAGATGCGCTCTTGGCAGATGTGGGAAAGATCTCCTCAGGAACCTGCATCTCCCACTTCAGGAACAAGTGCCTTATCTAGAAGGCACATATATATTATGTAAAATGGTGGCAGTTGTGCAGCCACAACCTCTGGACATGTTTCTGAGAAAAAATGTCTGGGGCTGTTGTGCTTCATGACAGGGTTGGTGTACGTTAGGCATGCTCAGAAGATCCTTACCTCATGAAGCCTCTCAGAAGACGTCTCAGCTGTACATCACAGGCAGGCTTTCGTGCAAGGCAGGTTTCAAGATTTTCAGCTGTATAGAAATACCAGTAGCAATGAGAAATGCAGTAGCAGAACTTCCAGATAATTTTATCAGCAAAATACTGATGTAGATTTTTGTGGCCATTTCATATCTACATACAAGTGTAAATATAGCTTCCTGGCATTTTTGTTGCTTTTTTGAATTTGTCTGTCAGTGCCTTTCTCAAAGTTACTTTGTGAACCAGCAGCAGGACATAAAATTAGAACCCAGAAATCCTGCTCTGCTACAGCCTCTCTGTAAGACATGTAAATATATTTACAATTAAAAACAGTCTTTTAATGTTTTTTTGTTGGAAATTAAGTAGCTGGCACCTATCTGAATTTGAGAAAAATCTCCTCTGATGCTGTTCATATCTATTAAACATTTTGTCTCTATGGCATTGTCATCTGTTTATGAGTTCATTGAGACATTTTCTGATAGGTTCTTTTTCCATCCCTCTGTTTTCTTGGCCCTTGTTCTCTTTTATTCTGGGTTCTGTTTCCTCAGGAGACCAAAATCCTGCTCCCTTTGTTCATCTCATTATGTACTTCCTTCCAAAGAGACTACTTGTCTAAATGAAAGAACAGGAGGATGTTGGGCAGAATTATTTTGCTATTATTTTGAATGCAGTATTATACACAGAATCACACAGTATCACACAGAATTATCTAGGCTGGAAGAGACCCTTGGGATCATCGAGTCCAGCCATAACATGCACACTTATAGTTTTTATGTATTCATAGATGAAGAAATTATATTTGCTTTGGATAATACTAAACAATCCATAACAAATTAGTCTTCTGCATTAGTAAAAAATATGCAGAAGACTATAGCAGGAACAACCTTCAAATATGATTTCTATTTAAAGAAAATGATTGTCAACTTTGGCTCTCAAATCTCAGTTTAGTAAAGTACTTAAAACACCACTGAATAAGGTGCTTAAGTACATTTTTAAGTTTTGTGGAGTACGACAGAGATATTTTGATAAGTGGAGCTTTATTTGGGAGAACAGCATAACCCAGGTAGCATAAAACATTCTTTTGGTCCCTGCTTTGCTTATGGTTGTTGCCTTTCCTCAATTCATTCACTCTTAGGAGTGTGTCCAGTCTTCACCAAATAGAACTTTCTGAATTAACCTTCCTTTTGGGAGAAAAGAATAATGTGATAATGTGCTCTTTGATGGTTTGTTGGGTTGTGGTTTTTTTTGTCTTTTGTGCTGATTGTTACACATCTTGAACTTGGCCAAGCAGGCCAAGTTTCTACTGGTCATCTAAAACGGTGATACAACTGCAACTCTGGTAACATGTATATGAAGCTTAGCAAAAATTCAAAAGCATATTCAAAACCTCCTAGAAACATGGAAGTTAAAGATGTCCAAGAAGTGACAGACTATTTTATTTAGAGGACGCAGAGGGAAACACAAATGCCAAATCTATTCTCCTCCATCACCGTACTTGGATTTAAAATTAATTAATACCAATGAAATGGAGACATCGCTCCTGCCTGAAAAAAAAGGTTTATTAAATCAACGTCCGCTGAAAGCTTGGGCCTTAACCAGTCTGTTTCACTGCTATGACACGCACAAGCCCCCTTTCAAGTAACCACCAGTATGTCTTCTCTGCACCAGAGGGCCAGAACACTTTAGAACCGAAAACCGAGGACCGCTTCTAGGGAAAATTCCATTTTTTATTTTTTCACTCATCATTTATTTACAAATACACATTATAACTTTTATATACATTGCACATTTACATGGTAGAAAAGTACAAAACTATATATTTAAATGAATTTATATTTAACTCGCCATGTTTGAAAATATAAAATTGCATCAGAAAAAAAAGTATTATGAAAAGCAAGAAACTTGAACTGATAAAGCTTTGATATAATTTTTAGTGACACACTGATTGGGAAAAGAAAACTTTGAAATTGGTACCGCAAGACCATCTTAAAGGAAACGCCCGATAAAACACTTATGCATGTTACAAAAAAACAGTAAAAATAAAATAAAACCTTTATTCTTATTACAGTTAATAACTACAGCCCTGTAGTTATTAACAACCTTCATAATCCGATTTCTTTGGGTCTGGAATTCATATAGTACAGTATGTACGCTCAGCACATTGAGATCACCAGTACATGATGTGATCAAGAAAAGTGAAGTGGAAGAAGTTTCCTTAAGATCGCCTCACTGCACCCTGGAAGTATACTTAAGTCAGTTACAACGCCTTTTGGTCAGTCAAGATTCCTTGTAAACAAAAACCCGAGGGATCTTTTATGAACAGAACCGGCAAGAATAAAATCCAATAAATAAATGTAACAGAAACTGACATGCAAGTTTGTTAAAGTGGAAAAGAGTTAACATCAGTGAAACAAAGAGATGAGACCATGTGGGTAAGCTCTAAGGAATGGATTTTTATAGTTCACAAGAAAAAAGAAAAGCTTTACTTTACAAGCAAGAGACCTCACAATAAATAACACTGCTCTTCCCGTAACGAATAAATTTCTTCAAAAAACAAGGTGTACAGTCAACCAGACATTTTATGTATAAATTATAAAACATGACACAGTATAAATAAATGTCTACCAGACTCAACTATATGTATACTTTTTTTTTCTCCCCAAAATAAATAAGCATACACTTATTTACAGTATGGACATTGATTTCATGCCCAATGGCTGTTCCAATAGTGATGGAGGTTTTACCACTCTAGAATGGAAGATATAGGAAAGCTGTAGTCCTGGTCTTCATCTTCCTCTTCGTCTTCTGGGTCTTCATTAATGGCTAAATGGGGGGAATACAGGGGAGCTGTTGTTTATATAAGGACAACAACAGCGCAGAAGCAGCTCAGTGCATGTTTTCAAAGCCCTCTGAACAGCCACAATAGAGTGTTGCATTTTATGCGACTTGTAGTGAGATGCTCTTTGGCATCTGCTGTTATGCAATAAGGTTTTTTTATACATAATCTATGAAGTCATAACTGCAGAAAGTTCTGAAGAATCAATGGCTCAGGTTTTATTGGCAGATTCCTGAAATCGAATAACAAGCGCTCTTGTGTTCTAGGTTTAACTGCTTTGTGTCCTTCATTCAGAGTTAGCAGAGGCAACTGTGATGAACCAGCTGCCCATGTGCTACCATTAGGATTGTTCTTTTTGACCAAGATAGAGTTTATCCGGATGTTAATAAAGCAATCAGCGAAGCACACCAGAGCAGACAAAGTAGGAAAAATTCGCTAGGATTACAGTCCTATGGCACAGCCTTTCTGACAGAATGACTTGTTCACAAGAATATCCCCAAATTCCACCTTGAACGCCAACTCGTCGTTGGAGATCTATTGCATTTTATCAGTAAACAAAGTGTGTGAGTGACAGATACATACTTATATGGCACCTGCACAGTATCTCAAATCTCTAAATCAAGCTTTCTTAGGTTTAAAGGTGTAAGTCTTCATTACCTAGGGATTGCCTTCAGAAGCTTTAAGTGTCTGCAGAGTTAAAAATCTCACTTACAGTTGCAAGATCCGGAGTGCTTTACTTCTAGAAGCACGCCCATGGAGCAGGCTGCCTCTTTCATGGCACACTCGCTTGGGTAAGTTGTGTTGTCGCTGGCGCAGACTGCCTCGTCTGACTTGCTTTCGGGGCACAGCTCATCGCAGAGAGCGCACCGGCCTCTGCCAACCTTAAAATCCCACAGGCACTTCTTCCCAGCGCTGCACTGAATGTCTTCACAGGATTTGGCTTCTAAAAATATACGTAGAGGTAAGTGAAAAGGCAAAGAAAAAAAGAAAAGCAACAACAAACTACCCCAAACTCCCTTTTCCCTGAGAACTGTGAATAGACAAAGCTCAGATGCGGTAGATGTGATGATACTTGCTGATTTTGCTCAAGCAAGTAGTCCCTTGGACACCATTGCCTGTCTATATGTGGGGGAGGAAAGGCAGCTGTGCCAACAGACCTTGGCCCTGGGAATACAGAATTACATTTGCCTATTGTACATGACCTTCCTGCTCTGTTTGATGTCAGTGGAAATTCAGCTCCCCAAATTAGCGGTAAGTGCAGAATTTGCCAACACATTCAGCATTTCTAAATCAATTATTTTTAAACTAACCCACACAGAGGAGTTGTCTGTGAGACTGGAAAGGGAATTCACCTCAACCTATGCCAACTAAAAGCAGCCTGAGACTTCCCTGAATTCCCCCAGCAGTTTTGGGGGGCAGAGGCTGCCCTGAAGGTGCTTCCTTGTAACATGCTTTGCTATCAGTCCTTTCTGGAAAACGCAATACAAAATGTCAGGATGCACAGAGATTATTTTCCCATCTTTACCCACCAACTGCCTCCAAACTCTGCAATATTTCTAAAGAGGAAAAAGTGATCAGATGTTTCCAATTAAGTTAACACACGCTTTGCCAAGACCACTTGAAGACAATTGTTTCCAGGAATCCAGATCCACTGAGCATCTAGACCTTGTTACGCTCTAACCATGTCATCGTCTGTCTAGCGGCGGGTACTCCTCCACTGGATACCGATGTTAGCACCCACAGCAACAGCGGAAGAAGCAGGATTATGCCCTCTACTCCCTCATCCCTCTTGCGATCTTTTCAGGGGCAAAACTCATCCTGCCTCTCCTTTTCCTGGTGGGGAGCACAGGCCCAGGCTGCTTGAAGTCTCTCCATCTCCCCAGCGCTAACTACATCCATCCAGTTGCACATACAATACTCTGAAACAGCTGATGAAGGAAGCTCCCCCCACCCTCACCCTCCACCCTCTGACCGAGATACCTACTGATGCATTTTCCTTCGTAGGCTAATCCAATGGATCTGCCCAGCAGGCAGGTAGCTTTCCTCAGGTGGCAGGCACTGGCGTAAGTTATGCCGTCGTTCCCGCAGAGATACTGTTCAGGGGAGGTAGGCTCTGGGCAAATTCGATTGCATGTCACGCAGTAGGCATTATTAGTTTGGTCAACCACACATGTGGAGCTGCCTGGGCATAAGACATCCCTGCAGGTCTCTGAAATAAAGATGGAAACACACAGCGATTAACAGGCGATCCCAGAGCCCCAGTGAGGAGTCAATGGGTGACACAAGGAAACAAACAATCAAGAGAGTAAGAGCCTCCATCAGCTCTCCTCGTCTAAGTGCTGCTGGAGGAAACCTCCCCATCTAAGGGGAGCTGGTGGGACACAAGTACTGATGGACTATGGGGAACTCTCAATCCAACTATTTGTCTGCTAAGCGCGGGTAGTTACTGTCTCCCAGCATTTGGAACATCAGTCTAGTTCCTGTGGGGAAGTACGTCCAACAGCTCCTCCTCCCTACACTCAGACACACACCCTTTGGCATTTGAGGGAGATTGGATTAGATTTGCAAACCTACTTTTGCATTTGCCCTGATACTGGACTTCAAGTTCAGGCTGTTCTTTACATCTGGCTTTGAGAAGGGCACACTCGTTCCTGTAGGTTTTCCCATCTAAGCCACACACGGGGCCCTTCCAAGTGATATTAGAGCAATCCGGAGCACAAACACACCGAGGTTTGTTCTTCTTGTTCATTTTACATTTCTTCCCGGGTCCACAGTCCACGTTCTCACACGTTTCTGATGGAAGGAAAGAGGCACCACTTTAGTACCGAGCGTGGAGAACAGACCTGGTGTCAAAACTGCTTAAAGAAAAAAAAGACACTGTGACACCGGGGCATAGAGAGAAGGCACCTTCCCCCCCCT